AATATCTATTCGATTAAAAGCATTTGAGATCCATCATGTCCAGAGGGACACAATTCTAGATAAGATGTAGTCTCACTTCGAGGTGATCCTTCACATGAAACACCAGATGAAATATTATCATATGAAAGTTGAGGACTTGAAGTAATTGAAGAAGTGGAAGTATCATTGTATGACATATTATAATTTAGGAATGGCTGTTGATGATATTGTGCTGTTATATCTGAGGTATAATAAGGAAGTGTATAAGTATCACAACTATTAATATTGATTAATGACGAGCCACCATCCGATCCTAATAAATTATTATTGTTGCTGAGGAAACAGGTGTCGCTAATGTCGTTGATAAGACAGTTGTTGATGTTACCGTTAACATGGGAGTTGATGTTGTTGATGTTGTTGGCGATTATGTTGCTATTATAGTAGCGAACTTGGTTGCTGTTATTGTTAATCTTATTGTTGTAGATTTTGTTAACTCTATTATTGTTTTTAGCTTTTTTTTCTTTTTTTTTGTTATTTCTTATTTTTCTAACGCCGCCATATCTTTCTTTGTGCATTATTTTCGCTTTTTCTGCCAAGTCGATAAAAACTGCTTTAGTTACTTCTGGTTCTCTTCGCCATCGTTCAGCTATAAAGCCAGAAATGTCAGTCATTGAATATTGATGACCCTCTACTTTGAATTGTTCAACCCAAGCTTTGCGATAAATGAAAAATTTATTCGGTGATTTTGTAGTATAATATTTTGGAGTAGTTGTCTCCTTGTTTTTGCTTTTCTTTGTTTTTTTGTTTTTACCATCAATAACTTCTTCAACCTCAGGACCAGCAACTAAATCTTCAACCTTAAATTGGAGTGGATAAGTTAATTGAATGTTGTTGGGGATGATTACCGTTTTTTCACGTTTTGCAACAACTTGTATATTGGTTTTATCACTAACAGGCATTAAAGTACCATCTGGCATCCTTTCAAATGTTTCATAGACGAAACTATTATCCATAACAGGAATAGTATCAATATCAGTAGGATTAATGCTCATTTTGTTTTTTTTTGTTTTTGTGATTTAAGAAAACAATAATGATATTATTATTAAATTAGGAAAGATAGAATTTTATTTACGAATTTATTTGT